ACGTGGGGCAGACCCCACGACCCTGAGATTGACACTCTCATGCTCCAGGTTTCCCTTCAGGGACTCACTCCATGCAAGCCCAGCAGCCCTGCAGAGCCCAGCCCTGGCCCTCCCTCCCTCTGGGGGTACCTTTGGGGGTGCGGAACTGCACGGCCTCGGACATGGGCCCCATGCCCTTGGAGTTGCGGGCCTGGATCTTGAAGAAGTAGGGGGTGTCCAGGGTGAGCTCCTGGATCTGGTGGGTGAGCCTGTTGCCCACCACGGGCTCGATGACCCAGTCGTGGATCTCGGCGTTGACGTCCGTGCTGTAGTAGATGATGTAGCCTGGGCAGGAGGGGACAGTGCCACCTGTCAGGTGTGTGCCAGGGCAGCCACCAGCGGCTTCCCCAGGGCACTCTGACTCTGGCACAAACATTAAAACCATCTTCAAATATCAGCCAGCCCTCCCACCTTCCCTCTGAACTGCTCAAAGGAGATGGTAAGAGAAAAAAAGCCATTTAAAATATTTCTCATCACCATTCCCTGAACGTGGACAAATTGCTATTTCCATCTCTTTACCTATTTATAGACCAATAAAGTAAAGTAAATCTGCCATTATAAAAACATCCTCAGAGGATTAATGTTACCATGATATTTTTTGAAAAATCCCTTTGACAGGATTTTTTCTCCTGGGAAGATGAGAAGCCTCAGCTTCTCCATGATTTGCTCCTCTGGAATATAGTCTAGAAATGGTTTGTCCAAACATGTGAACTGTTTTTAATTAATAACCAATCACCTTCAGCTGTGTTGGACTGAGTCCGTCACGAGTTTTCATTATCATTCTTGTCTAACCTTCTGTCTCTCTTCTCTTTTTTTAGTATAGTCTCAATAGATCATTTCTTTTTTCTATATTATATTTATCATAATATAATAAATCAATCTTCTAAAAAACTTAAAATCAAATTCTCATCTCTCACCTCGTCCTAAAAACCTCACAACACCACAAATTAATGTTATTTAAATTACATTAAAATAACAAAACATTCTCATGCACAGCACAACAATTTGGTTTTGTAATTATTTCATTATTTTTCAGTGTATTAACAAAGGCAACAAGAATCTGAAGAGAACTGAGGCTGCCCTGCACATCCCAGAAAAAAGGGTATGGGAAGGATTTATGTTCTGTTATAAAAATACAGTGAAGTCACCAATCATTATGCAGTAAAAACTTTATAACTATTTTATACAAGAAACACAGATCAGCATAAAATAAATACTTGAACCTCTATATATTTATATACACATAGAAATAAATACTTGAATCTGTATTTAATATATATTGTATATAACACAATATACATGATATATTTTAATATACTATTTATATATTTGTATCACTATTTATATCTATATCTAGCTTCAAGTATTTATTTTCTATGTAACATATATGGAATACAAATTTTTATATTACTATATATATGTTTTATATATATCTGTTGTTTATCTATATATCTCTACATCTGCAAGATATCTAAATGTGGGAGATGTTTTTGTAGATTTGTAGAGAATATATACATAAAATATGTATTATGTAACATATATTAATATATAAATAAATAAATTTTTATATAGATGCTAAAAGCACTATAAGAGTCTAGAGGCACAAGTACTGAATTAATTTCAGAGTGCCCTAATTAGTCAGCAGCTCTAATGATGCCATGCTCTAATGATGTGGGACCCAGAGTGGCCCAGCTCAGAATTCCATGGACAGGGGGCCCTGGAATGACATCACCACTCAGAATTCTGGCATCACTGACAGCACAGAGTGAGTTAATGAGGAATTAATTAGTGCCTCAGCTGATGGGGATGTTCCCAGCAGAGGGCACTCGGGCCTCACATCCAAAAACTGTGTGGGCACTGGAAAAGGGGAGCTGGAGATGGGAAAGGGGAACTGGGGATGGGAAATGAGAGCTGGAGATGGGATTTGGGAAAGGGGAGATGGAGATGGGAAAGGGGAGCTGGAAATGGGGTCTGGGAAAGGGGAGCTGGAAATGGGAAAGGGGAGCTGGGAATGGGCTCTGGGAAAGGGGACCTGGCACCTGCTGCACTCAGGCTCAGCCCTGAATCACCATTTTAGTTCATTTTTAAGCTGTTAACTGCTGCTTGTGCAAAAGCTGATAAATACTGAGCAGTTCTGTTCCAAGGGTTTCCTTCAGTGCCAGGGGATTTGGGGGCTGGACAATGGGGTAATTTTGCCAGCCCTGTGCAGGTAAATGCTGCTCTCTGTAGCTCTCTCCCCTCCCTGGTGTGCCCCAGTGTGAGACGTTTGTGCCCCTCACTGGCAGCCAAATCCCTCCAGCAAAGGCTCCTGTGTCTCCAGCCAATCCTCCTTTCCCATGGAGAGGAAACATTTTGCTGCCTTTTCAGTGATTTTATCTCCTGTGCAGAACCTGGGCTCCAGTCCTGCCCACTCAGGTGTCCCAGGTTTGATTCTGCACTATGGTTAATCCTGAGCTCAGGCCCAAAACCACACACTGCCATTCAAATCTGATTTCAGCTTTAAACAAATTCAAATTGAAGTGATTATTTCACAAAGCCCTTCCAAATGGGAATCTGAACAGAAACTATAGAAGAGAATCTGTAATTATTACTGTCTGGAAAGTGATTTATCCTGTGTGGCAGTGATGCAGTTAAAGGCAAATAACAGTTTACTCCTAATGGTTCTGTCAGGGGAACAGGAAATTGCTCTGAAGTCTGTTCTGTGGCACAAAAATGCCACAAAGATGACAAAGAGCATGGGGATGGCCTCTCCTAAACAAACCTCTGATGGGCCAGAGGGGACATTGCTGGAGGCTGCTATTAGAACAGCACAGAGGTTATGGAGGTATTTAACTTCCAGCTGCATCTCCCACTGCAGTTAGCTCAGATGTGAGTGTATGTGGGTGAGGACAGCAGCAAGCAGTGGCTGGGAGCTCCTGAGGCTGGCAGAGCAGCTGGCAGCCCCAGGGCCCTGGTGCCCACCTGTGATTTTGCCGTTGGCCTCGGAGGGCGGCTGCCAGTTGACGATGATGGTGCGGGGCTTGCCCTCCTTGCTCACCACAGTCACGTCCTTGGGGGGAGAGGTTGGCACTGAAACAGAGCCAGAGTGTCAGCAAGGGCTGCCCTGTCACACCACAGAGCAGCCAGCTCAGGGCCTGGATCCCCATCTGATTATATTGGGGTTGTTTTGTATATTTGGGTTATTCTCTTTACTGCCATAAATCCCCCTCACTGCCTCCCTCCCAGATGGAGTTCCCCCTTTCCTGAGCACTTTTGGCACCAGATGTGATCCATGACTGAGCACCCTCAAAAATCTGCACAACTGACTTCTCACCAATCATCCCAAAAATCCTCCAAATTTTGTGAAAGATATGTTCTATATAGATATTTCTATATTCTGAAACATCTCCCTGTTCCCAGGTTTCTGGTGGACTCAGACCCAGCAGTGCCCATTTGCCCCTTAAATCCCAATGAGCAAAGGAAATCCAGCAGCAACTCAGAATTCTACCAGTCCGGAATGGTTTGGGAATGGCTCTCAAAGCCCATCCAGTGGCACCCCTGCCCTGGCAGGGACACTGCCACTGTCCCAGCCTGGCCTGGGGCACTGCCAGGGATGGAACAGCCCCAGCTGCTCTGGGAACAACCTCTGGGCAAACCTGCAATGGCTCACTGAGCTCCTGAGGAAGGATTTGTAACTTGGGAGGCATCTGCACCTCAGAGTGTCTCAAATGCTGAAGGATTTGCTGAACACAACCTTTTCCCTTGGTTGCCTTGGTTCCCTTGCTGCCAGAGAGCAGCACTGAGGGAAAGAAAGGAGGGGAGAGTTTTCCTTCTCCCATCAGCCTCTCCTGCCAAGAATTCAGGAAACAGCACAAATGGCTCCAGCAGAAAGCTGAAATCCTTGCTGTGAGCTCCAGAGGGCACTGACCATCCCTGCAGTGCCACATCCTGAAATCCAGGAGGCTCCTGAGGGGGCAACCCACAGTAAATCCACCTTGGGTGTTTAATACAGCCACAGCAGCACTAAAATTTCTGCTTTTCCAGAGGTTTATGTGGGTGACCTATTAGAAATCCATCCATAAATCCTCTGGGATGGCCACCATTTATCCCTGTGATGATGAGCTGGAAACCAGGGACAGCCAAAGCCCAGGAATTATTGTAACTATTGCCCCAAATATGTTAAAAAAGGATTCAGAGGAAACAAAAATAGAAAACCAGGAGTAGCCCACAGGAGATCAGGAATACACAGACAACACAGAGCCCAGATTTCCCTATTCTCCTTATAGGAGCAAGTCCTGTACAACTTCTCAGGAGTACCCCAAAATAATGAGCCACTCACTCAGGAATTTGGCCAGTATTATAAATAATAAGATTTGTTATGAGAAAATATATTTAGCCTCTTTTTAAAATTTCTGTTTCAAATTTTCTCCTTAGCTTTCCAGCTTTTGGGTCATATTTGCAAATATCCCTTCCAAGCACTTCAACCTGAGCCTTCCTGTTTAAATGCACTGAGCCCTCCAGCACTGTGCCCTTGCTCAGGGGCTTTGTGTCAAATTCTCATGTAAAACCCTTTATTTGTGCAGCTTTTACAGTCCCTGCACTCAGAGCAGAGTTATGGCTGAGGATTGAACGTGTCAGCAGAAACACCAAATGCAGTGTTTCATGTGGAATGGGAAAGGAGCCCCAGCCCAGAGCTGGCCCCACACATGGCATTCCCACCCAAAACCACCACAATGGTTTCAAAAGCAACTGAAGCTCACTGGGACTTCAGAGAGTTCAGATTTTATCCTGGGTTTGCTTTTTCTGAAGCAGAAATTAAAGAATTTCTACTATAGACTATCTGGAAAATCTCACTAATTGTTTGCATGATTGATTTCTTGGCTGTATTTTAATTTAGAAGGAGAACTCTGGGCTCATTTGGACTCTGGGCTTCTTGTCCTCCACAGTCCATCTAAAGAGAACCCTTCCCATAATAGGCAGTAAATTTAATTGCCCAAAGTTCATTTAACACTGCAGGGTAAGAAGAGCTAATGAGGGGCAGGTCAGGGAGAGGGCCTGGCCCTCACAGTCCCTCCCTGGGCCTGAGTTGTTGCTGGCAGCCTCAAACCCTGCTCTGTTCTGCACTGAACAGGAATTCAGAGCTCATTTGGATGTCTTAATGCCTACTTTGATTTTTCTGTCTTCATTTGCTCACGCACCTTCTCACTCTGTAACAATTATCATCACATTTACAGCACATTTTAATTATTATTTGCTGAAGTGTTTTCTTTGTATTTGCTGTTGAGGTGCTTTTTGTGAGACTTTCTTCTCTCCTGCCCATGAAGTGTGGTACATTATTCATGACTTCTCTGTAATTTGATGTAAATTCTCCTGCAATCATCCCTTGCAATTTTCAAGTATGTTGTTGTTTTTTTAATCAGAATTTCTGCCTGAACTATTCAGACCCCCCCAGCAAGTGTTAATCAGCAGAACCATTTCAGGTGGAGGTTTCTTTGGGAATATCCAGCAGTACCTAATTCAAAGGTTGTCCCGTGTGCTGTCATGCTCCAGGTGCTGGATCTCCTGCCCTTGGTCACCATCACTGAGAACTCGTAGAGGGTGTTTGGCTTCAGCCCCGTCACCAGGTAGCTCAGGGTGGTGGCATTTGCAGTCTGCAAGGGAAAGCAGGGTCAGCACTTCCCAAAGCACAGCCCTGACACAGCCCCAGCCCCTGCTCCCAGCATTTCCATAACCACAGTCATTAATTAGGGCTGCTTCTTCTCCGGCGTGCAAATTCATTAATCAAATATCAACGTTTATCCTCCACTAGAAATGCTGCAATCAGCAGCAGCACTTAGCAGCAGTCAATTAGAAATGAAAAAAACACAATCCAAGGGCCAGGGCCCACTTGTTCTGCAGTGGTTAAACCCCTGTTTACCTTGGGGTTGGTTTACAGCATTTCATTAACTCCTCTGGCTGGGGAAAACAAAAAGCACAGCAAGGAACAGTCCTGCCTTGGAACCTGGAGCTGCCTCCCAGATCCCTGCTGGAATTTCCAGAACAACCTTAAATGTAATAAACAACCAACTAAAGACACACTTGTGAGACTTGAAGAGAATGAAGCTTTGCTAAAATGTAGATTATTTTCAGAAAAAAATGGTGATTTAGGATTAAACAAGGAAACTCCACGTGGGTCATAGTGGAATTTGTAATTCAGCATTTCTAAAGATCTGGTATTTGTTATCAATGGCTTCAGCACCCACAGAATGTGCTGGAGGCCCATGGAAAAGAAGGAAAGCTGTATTTACAGATAAGTATGTTCCCCACCTTGACCTGTGCTGTTAACACAGAATGAAGGAGTTGCTGCAGGATCTGACAGGGCCATACAACAACTGCAGCAGCCACTGCCTCCAGAAACCCCTGAGTGCAGCTGATTTATTGCAAGGCAAAGGCACCTCTCCTGAAGGCTCCAGGAGCAACAAAGAAACCCTGACATCTCCAATCTCTTCATTGCTTTTTTCTTCCAAAGGATGGAAGTTCAGGAAATGCTGATCCAAGGGATGGCAGGAATTTGCTGTCTGTGGCCAGACAACAAAGACTCATAACATGAATTAAAATTCACCCCTCCATTGGCTTTAAGCCTGTCCTTGGTGAGGCTCAGTGCAGTTTGGAGAGGGTGGGACTGTGGCTGAGGGGCTGGGGCACAGCTGGAAGGGCACAGCTGGAAGGAAGGGGCACAGCTGGAAGGGCACAGCTGGAAGAAGGGGCACAGCTGGAAGAAGGGGCACAGCTGGAAGGGCACAGCTGGAAGAAGGGGCACAGCTGGAAGGAAGGGGCACAGCTGGAAGAAGGAGCACAGCTCCCTGGGGAGTGCAGTCCTTGTGCAGGGATGGAGTGACAAGTCCAAGGCAGGAATCTTTCCCTCCCATCTGGCATTCCCAGCTGCCTTACCCCAAAAAACTCTTCCTCTCCAGGATGCTGCAATTCCCAGCAGTATTGAAGCACTCCAATATTTGGATTATTTGATGTGGCAGCTGGGCTCCTTTTACAGGTGAAAAGTTCTGGTTTCCATCTCTGGCTTTGAATCTGAGGATCTTTTACCACTGAGTGTAAATGACACACCTGAGCCTCCCTGGAGTGTCAGACCCCACAATTTAACAGCACTTCATTATTTTAACATCCCAGCCTATCCCACAGTACCAAACCCTGCTCACCTGCTAGAAATAAACTCCATAAATATTACTCTATTATCTTTTATGCAGTCCTAAAAGATCCAATGTTTAATTTTATTGATTCCTGATGGATCCCAGGTAACTGCAGGACAACCTCACACACCAACAAGGAGGCTTTGGGAAACTGCTCCATTGTTACACTTTTATAAGTTGTGAGTTTTACAGTGCTTCACTAATAAAGTAAAAAAAATAGAGCTTTATTTCTCTCTTTATAAGGTCTTTTAAGGATAAACTGTCTAATTAAGAAATGATACTTAAATTATTTTTATTAACTACTTGTGTCTTGCAATGTGGACTTTTTAATGTAATTACACAATACTACTTAAATTCATGAAGAAGAAGGTAAAAAAGTAGCCTCTAAAATTTTCATCTTGCTTTATATATATAACTATATTCTAAAACTTTCAACTCTAAGTTTTCTGCTATGTGATACTACACATTTCTATTTAAACTATACACTCACAATTCTAGTTCTGTTATTCAATTTTGGAAGTTGTTTTATGTCTTCAGGTTAAATGTAGTGTTCATTTGGGGGTCAGTGTCTGACAGCACAGAAAGTCTAAAATTCTGAGCAAACAGAGTTCTAATAACCCTGTTAGTGCAGAGGGGCTCTGACCTCCCCAAAAACATCCAGCAGGCAGGAGAGCATTTCCAACAGGAACCAGGGGAGGAAAGCAGGATGTGGGCTTCCAGACACCACAGGTTACACGTGACTGGAGCAAATTGCTCACACTTCTCTCATTCAGGCAAATCCTTTCTACATTTCTGAGTAATTTTAAATTAAATTCCATCATTCTGTGTTGGTTTTGGCCACAGTAAAACTTGTTGCCCACTGACCACCAGCACTGGAACAACAGGACTATTCCTGTTGTATTTAAATTTACTGTTTTATTCCATCTTCTATTTTATTTCATTCTTTTAAGCAATTAGCTAATGAAACTGCAGCTTTATTTAAACCACTCCTGAGACACCCTCTGCACATGACTCAGGAATGTGGCTCAGAAGCCTTTAGAGAAGGAATACACACATATTTACATCTTTTCATTTCAATAAAGAAAAGATCTGGATTATAACAAGCTGGCTCTGCAGGAGCATAAAGGGAGCTCCACTGGCTGGGTATTTTAACAACCAGTTCCTCTGAGTCTCATTACACATGTGAAATTTGCAGTCAGCAGCTCTGAGCCCTGCAGGTAACTCTGAAAATTAATAAAAAAAATCCAACCAACCACCAAACCAAACCCCAAATCCAGTCTCCAAATCAAAACACATGAAAATGGAGGAAGGCAAGGATATAATAAAATTTTTGTTGTGTATTTTGAAGCCAGACAGTTCCCAAAGGAAAAGTTCCCTATTAGCTTTGTAGGAAGTGAAAAGGCTCTAAAAGGAAACCCCAAACCATGGGGGTAAATCTGTTTTCCCTGCATGGCTCAGTGAGGGGATGCAGTCACACAGCCCTGGCAACTTCAGTGACCGTCCAGAGGGGAGCCCACACCTCCCATCCAGGGACTGGGGCAGGGGGAAGCTTTAGACTATCACTGTGCACAACTCTGGAAATTCCTGTTCCCTCCCTGGAGCAGCTCTGCCACAACACCCCAGAGCTGCAGCTCCTTCCAGGAGACACCAAAGCACTGCTGCCACCAGAGCAGGGCAATCCTGGCCCTCCAAGGCCCCTGGGCTCACCCCAGCAGCATTCCCAGAGCTGTGCCTCCAGCTGGGAGTGGGGCTGGAGGAATCTGCGCCTCCAAGGAGCCTCCAGTGCTCCCAGAGCTTGCCCTGAGAGTGGAACTGGAGGGATCCTGTCCCTCCAAGGAACCCAGCAGAGTTCCCAAAGTTTGCCCTCAGGGTGGAACTGGAGGGATCTGCCTTAAAAGAGCCCAGCAGAGTTCCCAGAGCAGTGCCTTCAGCTGGGAGTGTAGCTGGATGAATCCTGCCTCTCCAAGGAGGCCCCCAGTGCTCCCAGAGCTGTGCCTTGCTCTGGGAATGGAACTGGAGGGATCGTGCCCCTCTAAGGAACCCAGCAGTGCTCCCAGAGCTGTGCCTTGCCCTGGGAGTGGAACTGGAGGAATGTGCCCCTCCGAGGAGCCCAGCAGAGTTCCCAGAGCTGTGCCGTGCCCTGGAGCTGGAGGGATCCTGCCTCTCCAGGGAGCCCAGCAGTGCTCCCAGAGCTTGTCCTGCCAATGCAACCAGAGGGATCCTGCCCCTCCAAGAGCCCAGCAGTGCTCCCAGAGCTGTGCCTCACCCCGGCAGGGCAGCTCCCAGCCCTCAGTACCTTGTACTTGGTGTTGGCAGGGATGTTGGTTTTCCAGCGGACGGTGTAGAAGCGCGCGTCCGTGATCTTCTGGTTCTTGGGCAGGGAGTTGTCTGCCCAAGTGATCCTGATGGTGTCATGGCTCAGGATGGAAGCCTGAACTCCCACCGGGGGCATCATGGGAGACGGATCTGGCACTGGAGTGTATGGAGCATTAATAACAAACAAATCAACCTCGGAAGTGTCTGCCCAATCCGGGGTTTAGAATTAAAAAGGGAGGAGGTGGCATTTTAATGTCAACCAAAATAAAAAAAAAAGGGGATGCAGGGAAGTGCAATGAGATGGAAGGTGAGGAATGGAGAGAAAGAGAGAAAAGCCAGAGTTAATAGGTGACATTAGACTGGGCAATAACATCACTCTTGCATTGTCCTCCCTCCTCCAGACAGTAAGACAACAAATCCCTGCTGGCATAACCCTAATTAGTGCCCAGGGCACTCAACCATGGCCTGAGAACCCCAAACACTCAGTCACTGTAACTTCATCTGCATGGAGTGTCACTGAGTCCTCTCCCAGGAAACAAAGAGGAGGACACAGAGCTGGACTCTGGATGGGCAGGTGCCACCTCCCAAACACCCGGGGACCTCCCAAAGGCACCTTCAAAGGGAGGCTCCAGTGAGAGACCAACTTGCAGTAACTGTCAAACTGCAATTCCAGCATCCTCTGGGGAATCTCCAACCATTCCAGCTCATCAGGACTAATCCCAAGTGTTGCACCTCCACCAAATCCCAGTGGTGCCATCAGGCTGAGAGAGAGCCATGGCATGGCAACAGCTCATCTGCACATTTTTCTGCTTAAACCCTTTATGGATTACAAATCCAAAACAAAAACTGCCCAGATTTTGTTTAGTGTGAGTGACAACAGAGGGACACAAAGCAAACACAGGCATCATATTAAAAATTTTCAGTGCAAAAGGCCATAAACCCCCAGCCCAGGGCCTTTAGAGCTGCACCCACGTGGGCTGTGCTCAGCAGGGGGAACACTGGAGTTAGAACATCCATTAGTAGCTGTCAGGTGAGTTTGGAACTTAAATGAGCCCACTTTAGGGGGTTTATCAGAAGGAGCAAGGCCAAGCAGTGACAGGGACAGAGAGCAGGGGATGAGCAGGCAGCAGGACCCTGCCATCAGCCCAGCCCAGCCCAGCCGGGGGCAGCACTCACCCGAGTGGGGCCGGGTCACGGCGCTCTCGTACAGGGGGATCCCCTCCCCCACGTTGTTGAAGGCTTTCAGGGTTATCACGTAGTGGGAGCTGGGATCTGAAGGGGAAAGAAAAGAAATCAGCACAGCCAATGAATCCTGCTTTCTGCTTCTCCATACCTTCTTTGTCCCAATTTTAATTTTGAACTGGAATTTGTGATTTGAGCTGAGGAAGTCAGCACACAGACCTTCTGCTCATGGCTACAGAATCCCAGACTGGTTTGGGGTGCAAGGGACCTTAAAGCCCATCTCATTCCAGCCCCTGCCTGGGCAGGGACAGCACAGCTCAAGTCTATGGTTACAGCACAGCCTTTACTACCTTTAAGCACAGCCAAATCAGGAGTGAGAAAAACAATTCAAACAACAAAACCAAAATGACTCAAAGCTCCAATTTGATGGAATTCCCAATATTGCTGTTTCTCTCACTCTCAGACTGTTTCACCTCCCACAGAGAGCTCTGTGGAGGGGTGAATCTTTATTTTCCTTTTAAAGCAGCCACCAGTGAACGCTGGTGACATTTCAGTCCCTTTTTCTCCCGCAGCTCCGCACGGAGCACGCTGAGCTCAGGCTGCTGCTCCCACGGGAGCTGTTCCAGGAGTGCAGAGCTCAGGAGCTGGGCTGGGGCCCAGGGGCACTCACCCAGGTTCTCAATGGTGTAGTATCTCTGCTTGTAGTCCACCTTGATGGTCTGGGCGTGGGGGCTGCCGATGCCGTAGCCGATGGCGTAGCCCCTGACCACCACGTCCTGGTTCTCGGGCGGGGTCCAGCTCACCACGATGCTGGTGACCAGCGGGCGCACGTGCAGCGAGCTGGGCACCTCGGGCACGCGGCTCTCTGCAGGGACAGGGGGTGTCACAACCCAGCACATCCCTCTGGCTGCCCTGCATCGCCCAAACCCCTGCCAGGGGGCTCAGAGACCCTGGCACAGAGCCCAAGGCACCTGTGAGCTTGATTATGACCCATGGAAAAATTATCAACATTGTAAGAGGAGCTGCAAGTCATGAAAGACTAAACAGAATAATAATTAAGCTTGTCACAGGGTGAAAAATAGATTTTTAGGGGTTTTAGAATGGGAGTTCAGGGCACAAGATGGAGGAATCTGGGCATGTCCAGCCTTTCTCCTTCTTCTACTTGGCCTCCATCTTCTGCTGTGATGGTGGCACTTTTGGATTGGTTTAGAGTAGAAGCTCACTGTCCAACATAGCTGATAGGTATTGGGAAGTTATTGTAAATAATGCACATGTAGTTTTTAGTATAAAAAGATAACACCACCCTGAGGGTGGTCAGTGTGCCTCTGTCTGACCTGCTGGACAGACCTCAGCAGGCCAGAGACAAAATTTTATAGATAAGAAACAATGAACAACCTTGAGAATGAGAACTGAAGAGTTCTGACTCCTTCTTTGACTGCCAGGCTGGGAAAAGAGACTTTGTGACACATCTCAGGGTCACTGTGAGCAGCTAAAGCCCCAAGAGGGAGGCAGTGCAAGGCCTTCTCCCAAAGAAAGGCACTGCCAGGGAGCCCAGGAGGCAGGAAGGGCAAATAAAGCATTTGTGTGTGTTGGAATGAGCACAATGAAACTTTGGGGCGCAGCAGAGAGCAAAGAGCTCCAAGAGCAGAATGTTAACATTACATTCCAAGAGACTGACCCTTTAAAAGGCAGCACAGCTGTGCTGAAGCTTAGGGGGTCAGGATGGTTTTTGTATCAGATCTGTTTGGGCAGGTCCATGTTGCCCATGTCATCACCCAGTTTTATCCCATCCTTTCCCTCCACAAATTAATCTAATTTCAATTCCATCCTATTCCTTACTTGTGGGTATTACAGTAATTACATGGAAAAGAATTTTTCAAAAATAAAATTTTTCAATTTATATTCCCTTCTCCGCTTTGTTTTTAAGTGTATAGACAAGGTGAGGTGTAGGGATGTGCCCTCTGTTGATGGAGTGACAAAACTATCCTTTGTCCCCTTAAAAGGAAAGAAGCCCAGAAGTTCCTCTCCTCTGTTAATGAAAAGACACCTCATAGGACTGGGGGACTTCATCTCAAACTTAAAGATAGCTAATTCAATAGAACCCAAAAAGTCCTGCCTAGGCAATTTAGTAGAAAAAAAAAGATAACAAAGAAATTAGTTTGCTGTGTTTCCAGCTGTGTTTCCAGATACAATTCCTTGTTGAGAAGGGGGAAGGTGGAAGGGTTGCCCTGGTAAAAAATGCCCCATCCCAGAGCTCTAAAATAGCAGTAGGAGAGTCTATGGATTACTGGAATGAGAAATCAAGTCTTAAATTCCTCTCACCAGGTTAATTCGTGGAGATGTGTCATATTTTTGGCACTGTAAGGATTTGGGGGTTGCTTTGATAATTTTACCAGGAGCAAGAACATCTAGCACCTAGCTCGGTTTTTCTGTTTGTTATTTTGTCTTTTATTAAACCTTTTTATTTCTAACACTGCAACAGAAGCCATCCTGCTGATTTGGATGCCTCCAAAAGCAGCTGAGCTATCTTAGGTGTGTTATAGGCTTCCAAAAGCTTATCAGACCTGGCCCAAAGAAGTTACTATAACACATTTTCCATCACTTTTCTGGTGATGAAAGAAAAGTTCCTGAGCTGGTTGTGGCATTAAATAGGAAATTCCACAGCTGTAAGAACTGCACTGCAAAGGGTTCTCCTCACTTGTCCTACAGCTGTCCCTGCCTGGATCCTTGGATTCCCAGAACTCGTACAACATAAGCAGGAACTGCACAGAAAATAGAGTGTCCACATCAAATGTTCAGAGCCTTCCCCCAAAGCAACACAAGTCTCACCCCACCCCACAGAGACACAGAATGTGGATCCCTAACTCCAGAACACTTCACAATGTGCCACTGTAAGCCCCTAATATTTCTCCTAAGAGGCTTTGTCTCACTGTTGAGTGGAACCAAAAGCAATCTGCCACCCATCCCTGGAGTGTCCCTAACTTTGGGTTCACTTCTCAAAAATGCAATCAATCCTTTTGTCGTGGATTAGGGATAATTCCCTGCACCAGCAAACAGAGCTCCCCACTCCAAATGGAATCAAGGACTTGTGCTTCCTGCAGGGATTTCTCTTTAATGGAACACGCTGCATTTCTCTACAAACATTTAATAAAGCACCACAACAGGATTAGCAGGATCACAGCACAGCCCTGGCCCCCAGCCCAGCAGCTCCAGCTCCCAACCAGCAAACACAGCACAGCTCCAAGAGCAGCACCAGAGGTGACATTTCCACTGCCCTGGGGACAAACTCTGCACAACTGCTCAACACTCCTGCTCTGCACTCAAGGGAACCTGCTCCAACTCCAGAGTGGAATTGTAACACTCCTGCTCCCCTTTACATCCATGGCACTCTCCTGGGAATTCTTTGCTGTTTAAACTCAAAAAGCAGCCATGGAATAAAAAGAAATGATGCCTCATGTGTCTGTTGAACCTAAGAAATGCAAGATGAGCTGTAAATGCATTTGCATGTGTTAAAATTATTCATATGAGCTTTCTAAAGAAAGAAACCCAAGAAACACAGTGTGCACACACAGATCTCACAGGTGTGTGCAGAGTTATATGAATATCATGTTATGTCATCTTAAATGTCAATTTTTATTACTTTATTCAAGGGAAAGAATGTGTAGAAAGTCAGATTTCCTGCAATGGAGGTGAAAAAAATTTAAATGACAAAATAAACAGAGAAAGAAAAGGTTATTTTTCTTCTTCCTCCTTCTGCCTTGTTCAAATTTAAATTTAACCCTGCTGTCCTCTGGCTGAGTGTTGCTAACTCCAGTTCAGGGACATTCCAGTGCCCTGTGAGGTGCCCATGTACAGAGCTCTGCCCACTGTGGGGACCTGGCAGCTCCAAGGGTGTGTCACATCCACCAAGGGCCAACAGACAGAGAGATCAAGGAATTCCCAGTCCCCACACCCCTGAACTGATCCCCCATTTTTCATTGAATTGAAGTGAATGGATTCCCAATTTTTCAGTGAAATCAAGTGGATGGATCCCCCATTTTTCAGGGAAATGAAGTGGATTGATCCCCCATTTTTCAGAGAAATGAAGTGAATGGATCCCCCATTTTTCAGTGCAATGAAGTGAATGTCCCCCCATGTTTCTGTCCCAGCCCAGGGCTGTCTCTCTCTCACCATCCAGGTCGCTCTCGAAGGTCTCAGCTGACACCCAGTCGGTGGCGGGCCCGGTGCCGTTGATGGTCATGGCGGCCACGCGGAAACTGTACTCAGTGCCCCGCTCCAAACCTGCAGGATGGGCAATGCCCACAGAGCCATCAGGACAGCAACTCCCAAAGATCCCACAGAGCCATCAGGAGAGGAACTCCCACAGATCCCACAGAGCCATCAGGACAGCAACTCCCACAGATCCCACAGCTCCATCAGGACATGCATACCCAGAGATCCCACAGATCCCAGAGCTCCATCA